CACCTAGAGCTCCTGGTCTCAGGTAAGGAAGTGCAGGAGTTTCATTTGAGTGTAATTGTAACTGACACAAGATTCCAGACAATGACCTGATGTGTGTGGTAGTTAATTGAGAGCCAAGGTTACTGAAATCAGTGACACAGAATGTGTGATATAGCTGACCGTGAGGTGCCAAAACTAGGGTTGAAATAACAGTGGAATCCAAGGGCGAGGGAAAGTGTGGTCTTTGTGTGGCCTCTGCTATTGCAGATCAGCTCCTGTGTCAATGACAATTATGACCTTTTGTGTGGTATTTCCTTAGCAGATCCACCTCCTTTCTTTCTCATTCTTTACAGGAACCATTCACAAGCCCAACATATGGGCTGAACCACACTTGGTGATCCCCTCAGGGTGTCCTCTTACCAATGGTGTGAGATGACACTGGAAAAACAAATATATGTGATATATAAAGAGAGAAGCCAGGAATCCTGAGGCCAACAGATCCAAATAGCCCTTAACAAAAAAAAGAAAGCAATAAGTCAGGATTCAGTATGTTGTTTTGTATAAGAGAAGGTAGAAATACTTCTCTTTTTTAGCTTCATTTACATATATATGAATATATTTAATTGAATTTCATTGTAAACAATTTCACATATAAATTGAACAACATTAATTATAGCACAATATTACCAACACTTTGCAACTATATATTTTTGGAAGTTTTAATCATCCCAAATACAAATTAACTATTTCTTGAATAACATTTCTCTATTTCTACCGGCTCTTACCTTAGTATCTTCTGTACTAGGTTCAAAAATTTTCTATTTAATAGTCTGTATGTGGATACATATTCCAGTTTTCTTCTGATCTATCTTAATTCTTTAGCTATTCAATATGAATCTTGTGGTGTTTCATGTTTGTGAGATGTAAATTTGTGTCCTATTAAATTAAGAGGAGTATGTCTTACAATGACACCCCACAACACAGGTGGAGTGGATTCCATTCTGGTGTGAGATCTTGTAGCACGCTGGATCAGCAAGTTGCCAATTTCATGTCACAAGGCCTGAAATTACACTGGGAATCACTGTGTCCCTTTTCTTGACAGACAAGGCAGGAAGCCATGTCCAACCCAGACAGCCATAGAGACCCCCTACCTATAATGGTTGTCATTGATTTTTCAGAAAAAAACTGCCTTCTAAAAATATGATTCCCTACTGCTCTTTTGCTCTAGTAACTTTTCTTTCTACTTCTTTGTTGTGAAAAATTGTCTTTCTCTTTAACAACAACAACAACAACAACAATAACAACAACAACAACAACCCCCACCAAAATAATGAGCCAAACCTCACCATTCCATCTGTGACACAGCTGCAGACAGGGAGATATCACTGTTACTCTTACACCTCTGCTGCATGGACACCGCACAGTGACACCATAGATCTGGTGGTGACAGGTGACAGGATACGTATAATCTTAGCCCCAGACGTCACTCCCAAGAAAAAGTGATGTATCCGCATATCCCTTCCATGTGCCGCCATGGGATACAATACAGGCTGTATGAGACACTTTAACTTTGCACAGACTTATTTCTTCTAGGAGTCTATGACAAGCCCACCCTGTTCACCCAGCAGAAACCTGTTGTAAACTTAAGAATGTCTGTGATCCTCACTGGTAGCTCATATGAAATTTATCACTGGTTCATTTTGACTAAGGATGGTCAGAAATTCTCCACCCCTCAGAGCTCAGAGCTAAAGAAATACACACACAGGGGTTTTCCAGGCCGGGTTCCATTTGGGTTCAGTGACTTCCAGCCAAAGGTGGAGTTTCAGATGCTATGGCTATTCCACAAGTAATCCTCAGGTGTGGTCAGAAGCCAGTAAACCAGGAGCTGCGCCTCAGATACTCTGTGGAAACACATTCTGTTGGACATGGGTTCACAGTGGAGAACATGGTGTGTGATGTGTCTGAACAACTTGGGATGGGATCATTGACACAGCATACAGACTGTGGGAGTAAATGTACAGAAAATGGGGAGTGGGCATGGGAACTCTGAAAGCCACAAGGAGTAGGAGAGTGATGAGTCTTCCCATGGCATTGCTGTTCCTTTTCTAGTCAGAGGTAAAGTGCAAGAGCAGCAGAAAGTTTGACTTTTACGGCGAAACTGTTCAATGTCACACTTCTCATCTGCATATTTCCAGGGACACTGAAAAAACCTACCTTATGGGCTGAGCCACGTTCTGTGATTGCTTCAGGGAAAGCTGTGACAATCTTGTGTGAGGGGACCAAGAAATCCCAACTATATTTCCTCTACAAAGAAGGAATCCCAGCACCTTTGGATAGTCAAACTCCACAAGGTCCCAGTAAAAAGGCCATATTCTCCATAGCATCCATGGAAAAACATCATGCAAGGAAATACAGGTGTTACTCTTATGGATCTTCAGGGTGGTCAAAGCATAGTAACCCACTAGAACTAGTGGTGACAGGTGAGAGAATAATTCTTCAGTCCTAGGAATTTCCCTGAGAAAGGAGTGTGCTCGCCTTGGTGCCTCCTCCTCAATTTCTTGAAGAGGGAACCAGTGGTTACTTTCTGTTTTCCACTTAACAGGCTTCCTCTTCTTTCCTAGGAATTTACTCCAGCAAACTCACCCTGTCAGCCCTACCCAGTCCTTTGTTGACCCCAGGACGGAATATCACTCTTCAGTGTGGGTCACAACAGGCATATGACAGATTTATTCTACTGAAGGAAGATCAGAAGTTCTCCAGTGCTGTGTCCTCACAGAACATTCACGATGGTCTCTCAGGAGCCCATTTCAGAGTGGGTCCTGTGACTCATAACCAGAGTTGGAGGTTCACCTGCTATGGATATTACCTGAATAACTCCCAGGTGTGGTCAGTGAGCAGTAATGACCTACAGCTACTGGTCTCAGGTAAGGAGCCTCCTGTCCTGACTTTGAATGATATTACAACAGACACAGGGTCCCAGGGATGGACCTGATAGTTTATGGGTTATTGAAACCTGTTTCAACAAAGGTGTCATACATCTCGACTTGAGGTGTAAAAACCTGGGTGGATAATCAGAGTGGAGCTAAGGAATCAAGGGAAAAGTGAGGTCTTTTTGCGTCCTTCTGCTGTTACAAATCAGCTTAAGGGTGAAGATAACTGATTAGTTTCTCCAGTTTCATCATCTTATTTCCTAGAAATACATATTGTTGAATGATGAGAATAATGTGTATTTCTAGGAAATAAATGAAGAAACCGGAGAAAATAATCAGTTATCTCGAATACTTTACACACACAACATGTCTTTTCCCAGGAGCAACTGAGACCTTTAGCCAATCACAACACATGTTAGAATCTATGGCGGGGGGGGGGGGGGGAAAGGAACATATTT